TTCAGCCCATTTTCCTCCATCTTAGAACTTCTGACCCCCATGTACAAAATAACAACCCCCCTGTACAGGTGCTAAAACCCCCCTGTACAATACTAAAAAAATCTCCCCTCTGCTTTGTAGCTACTTTTACTATCCCATCTAACCCTTTGTGACTGCTTGTTCCACCTCCAAAGTTGGTAACTCACCCCAAGGCTCAAACTCAAAATCACAGCTGTTTGCAGCTGCCTGCCAGGCTCTAAAATGCTTCCGACCAAGGCCTGGAACCTCTAAAAATGTCTGAGGGACATTTTGAGTTCCCACACTCTGGCAGGAAGGCAGCAGTGTTCAGGCTGTGTGCAGTTTTTCAGTCTGCTCCGTGGGCACACTTCACAGCCAGCGTCTCTCTGTGCCAGGGCCTGGACGTGAAGCAGGAGCTGCACAAGATCTGCCTCCACACGCAGGACAGGCACGTCAGGGAGCTCCTGGTGAGTGCAGCAGAGGCTGCCCGGGTGCAGGGCTGAGCCCTGTGTGTGCCAAGGGAAACTGGGGGAAGTGGGTCTACAGAGAACTTCCAGAGTCTGATAGAAGGCTCACGGAGTGTGTATCTGTATGTAAACTTTGAGATAAGAGATGCTGACTTAGAAATGTTGTGGAACAGGACAGACATTGAGAGAGAAATGGAACTAGAAATAACTTTCAAAGGATGGCCTTACAAATAAGACTGGATACTTTAGAGAAACAGAACTATGAAAGATGTATTGCAGTAGGACCTACAAGGGGTAATTTTAGATGATTGGCTTTAAGGCATTTACAGCATGGTGTGGCTAAGGCTGATGGACCAAGAAACAGGTAAAATGTCTTGTAATTAGGAAATAGTTGGCTTCTGGTTGTGGTGGTGTGAATTATAACACCTGTATTGTCTCACCCTTCACATGAGACTGAAAATGGAATAAAAGTTTTTAAATACCTCTCAGTTGCCCCATCTCTGGGTCAGAAGAAAGCTTAGTTCAGCAAGAAACCCCTGACTGGACTGGCCCTGAGAGCAGAGCAGCCAGGGCTGGTGGCTGCACCCTCCATTACTGCAGCATCCCTGTCCCTTTGCATCTGCAGCTGAAGGACAGAGCTATTGCAGTGGCATTTATGGCTCTGATCTGGTGCTCTCTCACACTCTGGAGTCCTCTTGTCATTTAAGTGCATTGCCCTCTGCTTCCAGAATTGTTTACTGCTGGTTATTGCAGGATCATTTACAACTGGAATATATTAAAGATAGATAAAAACTGGGGGCCGTTGGAGGTAATGTTTTAACAGGTGGAGGTAACGCTTTAATTTGAATTAAAGGTGAAAGTCTTACAAGAAGAAAATTATTTTTCTGAAGAAGAGAAGAAAATTATTGACTTTGTGCATCAAGTTGAAAGCTTGTACTCAGAATCCTTCCAGGAAAATGAAGACACTCTGTCTCTTTCCAGGTAATATGGGTTATTAATTTTAATTAACAATTAATAGCATTAATAGGGTTTAAAATGTGCTGGATTCTATATTCAGTGAGATTTACTGTACTAACAAATACAGTCTTTAATTTCATTAACTTCACACTGGTCTTCATTTGCAGAAATCAGTGTGGGCACTGGGTAATTTTTTCATTACTGTACCAGTTACTGTCATGTTCTCTCATGACAAACTTGTGTGAGTCATGACAAACTTATTGTGAGGGTGACACAGCTCTTCTGCTTCAAACAAAGCACTTTTAATAATAATATTAGAATTACTACTCAATTATTCGTGTTCAGATGTTCGCTCTGGTTTTGATCTCTGCTGCCTGCAATGCAGCAAACTAAATAACCTGGAAAACAATTTTACAGTTAAATAACGGTAAAGCCGCTATGATACTCATGATTTGTTGTGTCAGCTTTGGAAAAACGAGGCAGCTCTTCACTTCTGAAGCCTGGGGCGGAGGTCAGTGCCTGTGGCACTGGCACTGGCAGCTGTGCTGAGCCTGGCACGGGTGCTGTGGGCTGTGATAAGTCCCCCTGAGCCCCCCGAGCTTCCCCAAGCCTCCTGAGTCCTACCTGAGCCCCCCCATGAGTGAGTCCCCCCTTGAGTCCCCCCCGAGTCCTCTGATCCCCCCTGAGCCCCCAAG